TACCACTGCCCTCACTCCCCCTACATTTGTAATCTGCTTTCCTCACTGCAGTTTGCTTCCTACTTTTCTTTCCACTGTATTTTCCTCATTGTGATTCTCATTTCACACACCTTGGAAGACCTAAATCCCTTTTATTCATGCCTAAAGTTTACTTGCCTGTGTTAGAAGTTCCTCCTCAAAGACATGATGGATTTCATCTGTGGTTTCAGGTAACTGGACAGTTAATTTGAATGTTCCTTTTCCTTGCAATACTAACTCATGATTTTTTCTCTCCAGAACCTTCTGCCGAACTGAAATGTCCAAAAGGGGGAAAAACAGCCAAATGACAAGCAATCTTTATTTACAAAGTTACTCTATGATTTCTATGGGCTGCGTTACCATCCATCAATGGCTTCGTCGGTTTCTCAAGAGAGGCTACGTGAAGTAAAAGAGGAAAAGTTTAGCAAGCAGACATGGATTTGAATTGCATCCTTAAACTGACTTTTTAATATTGACCATGTTTCCTAATAAGCCGTACTTACAAAGCCTTAGTTTTCTTGTCTATTTGTAAGGTTAATGGAGATATGTTGGTAATGTATGATAAAATAGACACATCTGAAACAGGGTTTAAAATGTTATGTCAATTTATACCAACTTTTCAGAAATCCTGTGAACTGTATAAAAGTGAGATACAGCTTCCCATTCATTTCTATTTGCTATACACGAATAAATACAGACAAGTGCTGGTGGGCTCATTCTTATTATCTGCCTATTAGGTTTATATGAATCAAATCAGGTTATGCTATGGGCCCGCACCTGTTGAGGCCATTTCCTGGCATGGAGGGTGGAGAGTGGAGAATATCCTCTGCAGAAGAAGAATGCTCTTCGGGGACTTCAAGGGCAGGTCATTCATTGTCAGCAAATTCCTGACCCTTTTTAGTGAGAAAGTGGTTCCTCAAGTAGGAAACTGAAACTGACTAGGGATTTTCCACCCCCAAGAACTTTGACCATACTAGGTTTTGAGTTTGTTTTTGTTTTGTTTTGTTTTTGTTTTGTTTTGTTTTTTGTTTTGCTTTGTTTTGTTTTGTTTTTTTTTTTTTTGAGATGGAGTCTTTCTCTGTCGCCATGCTGGAGTGCAGTGGTGCGATCTCTCCTCACTGCAACCTCCACCTCCCTGGTTCAAGAGATTCCCCCGCCTCAGCCTCCCAAGTAGCTGGGATTACAGGCACACACCACCACGCTCAGCTAATTTTTTGTGTGTGTTTTAGTAGGGATGGGGTTTCATCATGTTGGCCAGGATGGTCTTGATCTCCTGACCTTGTGATCCGCCCGTCTCGGCCTCCCAAAGTGCTGGGTTTGCAGGCATGAGCCACCGCGCCTGGCCGGTTGTGAGTTTTAATAAGTTTTGGGTCATCTGTGCTGGGGGTAAGACAAGAGGGGCCACTGGAGCAGCCTGGGGGTGGAGGAAGAGGAGTTGTGGGCTGGGGCTGGTCAAGGATGATAGCCCAGAAGTAAGACTAAAATCTTTTCTGCTTGGAGGGCTAGAATTGAGTTATTTTATCATCACAAAATTATATTTTGTGATATTTGTATTTTTATTCATTTGGGGTTGTCAGCAAACTACAGAAATTCTGAAACTTTAACACACCAAGGTCACCTGGGATGCCGGTTAAACACATGCTTACCACCCACCCCACATTCACTGAACCTGAATCTCTAAAACAGAGCTGGGAAGGTGCCTGGTTAACCTGCTCTCCAGGTGATTCAGATGGGTGAGACCTACTTCTAAGGATAATGGAATCTAAAGAAGAAAGAAGCATCCTTAAGGGCCAGATGGATGGTGATGTTGACTTCTGAAGTCAAAGTGGGGAAAACTCTCAAGGGAAAGCGACACCCAAAAGGGAAAAGATCACATAGTTGCCCTTCTGAGCACTCCTTGGTGAAATTAATCCTAGGAAAACATGGTATTTTGTTTTCATAAGGGCCATGAGCCAATCATGTCTCCTGTCCCCCTCCTTCCTTCCTTCTGTGCACCTTTCTTTTTCTGTTTCATTTTTCCCTTTTAGATCCCTTCTGGGGCCCTCTAATTGCATGGCCTCAGCCTCAGCCTCCCTGCTTCTCCTCTGGCCCAAACGCTTCTCCAAATTCAGAGACAAGAAAGCGAAATTAGGGGTTGACTAGATCCCAATGGGTCACCATCCATAAGATGCCAGTGGAAAAGGCGCCCATTCTGGGAGCTGCAGGTCACAGGCTTCCCATTGCAGACCAGGGAGGCCCTTGAGCCAGCAGATCATCGGTGGGCTCTTGACTCACCAAGTAGTGGGGAGTAGGGGAGTGGGGAGTAGTGGGGAAGAAGGGAAAAAGCCCCTTAATGGCCTGTAAGGAGGGAACTTTGCCGACTTTCCCCCCTCCAAAGATCAAATCTCCCAACCCACTGTCACTTCAGAATATCATCCTTGCTCCCAATCTGAGCACTAGAGACTCAGGGAAGAGGCCCCGGCAGGCCGTCGACAATGTGGCCGCTGTGACGGCTCTACGTTGACATTCAGGCCGTGTGATTTTAGGCAGCGCCTCTGCCCCTCTCCCAAGTGACCCCAGGACCTCTGGAAATCTCCAAGCCCCACGAGGAATCTCTGTGACTTGTCACGTTTCTTAAAGAAAAGGAAAAGACAGAAAAGGATGACAAGAGGATAGACTCACTTCACAACAACAACAAACAATAACACCACCACAACAGGGAAAGACAGAAAATGATCGAGGGATAGAGTCACTTGCGCTGTTCCGCCGCCACCTCCGGGCCGCGCCGTTAAGCGCCTGGAAACGCAGGGCGCCGGGGAACCGCAGCGCCCCGGGAGCGCTCGGAGTCCATTCTGTCGCCCCCGCCCCCGCCCCCGGCCCGGCCACCTCCGCTACAGCAGCCGCCGGAGCCGGGCGGGTCCCCCTCCGGTGTGCGCCCCGCCGCCATCTCCCTGGAAGGAGGGCAGAGGCGCCCCCTCCTCACCCCACCCCTCGCGCCCCTCACCGTCCTCCGGGTAGAAGAGCACCAGGAAGCGGGACGGGCTCCTGGGATCCTGGTGGACCTCACACTCGCCGCCTCCCGACTTCTTCCGGCTCTGGAAGTACATCTGCAATTTGGTGCTCAAGTTCTTCGGGGGGTCGGGGCCCCAAGAGCCCTCGACCAGCAGCGGGAAGGAGCCCGGCACAGCCATCCTCAGCACCGCTCTCCGCCGGACTGCAGGGGCCGCGCCAACTCCGGGCCGCTAACTTTGACTCTTTCGCTTTCGTTTCCTGGAAAACTCCCAGGCCTTGGTTTCCTTTTGCCTTCAGCCTAAGACAGCGGACCCAGGAATGGCCGAGTCATCCCCCGCCCACCTCCCCACCTTCGCATTCGGCCCACAGCCAAGGCCAAAGTAACCCTTTGGGGCTGGCCAGCGGCGCCCCGGGAAGGCGGCCTCCGTTCACCTGTGCTCCGCGGGCTCCCACACCCCCTCCTAACTCCGGCCCCACTGCCTGCCGCTCACCCCAACCTCAGATCAAGTCGGCAGCTTTGGGGCACCAGACCTTGGCCAAACACAAAGATCATTTAATTTTTGCCGCAGGCCGACCCTTTACAAAAGAATAAAATGACTCGCAAACTGTGGCCCTTTTAGAATGTTTGCTGCCTATTTGGGGGCTTTTTCAGCAACCAATGTGATTATCAGAATTTTACGTTGCTTTCCCTGTTTGGCTTTCTGTTCCTTAATCTGTTAGTATTACAGGTCTAGAAATGTGGGAGAAACAATTACACTCACAGGTTTTTTTGTGGAATATTTACTAGGCGCCATGAACTCACTCACTGAGCTCTCACTGAGATCACGGAGCTATGGTGAACACAGCGGGGAATAGGTGCTCTGGGAAAGAATGTACATGTGTTCCTGGAACAGATGAGGAGTGGCTCCTAGCCCAGCTATGGTGGCTCAGGGAGGGTTTATGGGGCCGTGATATGTAACCTGATAACCCCAAGGATATGGAGGGGGAGGGAGCTTGGAGGGTTAGGAAGCGGAGTTCCACGGTGTGATTCACGCGTACAGGATCACTCCGGCTGCTGCGTGGTGGCTAGAGTGGAGGCAGAGAGGTCAGCCAAGTGGCTACCATAGTGTCCCAGGTGAGAGACAAGGGTGGCTGAGACTGGGATGCTGGCAGAGAAGAACTGAGAAAAGGAGGATCTCAATTAATAGTGAAAGCAGGACTTGCTGAAGAATGTGAGCCTTGAGAGAAGGAAAAGCTCAAGGATGACTCCATGGTCAGCCATAGATGGCCCGTGCAAGTGGCTGGATAATAGTGGCATCTGCAAGAGGGGAGGCCAAGTGGTGGGAGAGAAGCTGGGGCTGTGTGTTTCCTTGACCCCAAATAAAGCAGTGTTGCAAGTCGAGTTGGGAGGGGATTATCATTCCAGTGCTACCGATACTTCAGGTCAGAGAAGTGTCTGCTGGACTGCTGGGGACCCGCACGCATCGTCTCCTGGAGAGGAGGGAGTAGAGGGAGATGGCAGCTTCTGAGGACTGAAAGGGAGGGAAGGAAGTGGAAGCAGCGAGCGTAACAGGCTCTTTGCAGAAATGTGACCGTGAAGGGGAAAAAGGAGCCAGGCAGCAAGTTGTGGGGTTACAGGATCGGGCTGAATTTCAGAATGAAGAGAACCAGAGATGGGCCAAATGGTTTACCTGGCTTTTATTTCGGCTCTATAATAATTCTAAACAGTATACAGGTATTTTTCTCCTGCCTCCAGCTTGCTACCTGCAGATGGCGCTCATCATCTGATCCAAACTGCTCTGGACCCCTGCATGCGGAGGAGGGGAGGACAAGCGCCCTCAGCCAAACTTGGTGACCGTTTCTCCCCAGGGCCTTTCCATCTGATCCCAAACCACAAGTAAAATCAGCATTCCTCCTCTCCCACTCTCCCCTGAGTTTGGGGTTCCAGAACTCAGCAAAAAGTTTCTCTTTTTCCTCACATAATTATTGTATAAGAAATAAAGTCAGAGGCATTTCTGGATTACTTTCGAGGGTTTATTTAATTATCAACAACGTGTCTTACCACCTGAGGTCTGCTTATCACGCCTGGGTGGACTGGGAAGGAGCTATCAGAGGATCAGGATGGCAGGTCTTGAAAGCCAAGGAAGGGAAGTTCTAGAAGGGGCAAATTGTTGAACAGCATTAGCTCCTGCAGTACTTTGTTTCCTGTAAGTTATTTTCTCCCTGTTCACTTGAAGAATGCTTATCCTCTCACAATTCTCTGTCTCCTGTGGGTATCTGCCTTCTGACCCCTTCTTCCTGGGAAGCACGTGTCTTCTCAGGGCCTGAGGCTGGGGTAGCCTTCTGCTGTAGAAGTGGCCGTGTTCATATCATTGTTCCTTGGTTCTCCTTCCACCTCACAGCCACAGCTCATCTTAACATAACAGCCCATGTCTGCATTTTTGGGCTGAACTTCCCTTTCCCTACTTCATCTAATTTCCCCTTTTTGGTTTCTCTACAAACTGCTGTAGCCTAGCATCGTGCTCCTTTGAACTTCTCTACCAACCAGCATCAGCCTCCCCATTTCTCCCATTGAGGCATAAAGGAGGGAAAGGGCTGCTTTCCCTTCTGTCCTGAATCAGTGAGTTGTAGGTACCTCACACTCACCACTCCACCTCATTTTGCTCCTGAAACTCCTGGCCCAGTCACCCCAAAATAAGACATGGTCATAAATCAAGGGAAAAGTACTCCAAGAAGTTCTGCCCTCAGAGGGAGCCCCCTGATGGACACATCACAGTCCTTGGCCTCACTCCCTATGCTCAGGTACCTTTTGGGAGCTTTTATCTTCAAACCTCCATAGGGACAGTCTCCATACCCCTCAATTGACCAGGACAGTAATTACTAATGATGCATTTTCCCAAACAGAAGTAATTTTGTTTCACCAATACTACGGTTGAGTGGGAGGTGGAGGTGGCATCTCCAAAAGAGTCCAGAGTAGACTTGATCTTTCCATGTTTGTGTAAAGACCTTTCCTCATCATGCAATTAGGTAACCATTGAATTGAACACACATGTGTATGTCTCAAGACAAACATTCATTCTCAGTATAATCTAGATCACATTTTTAAAAATAGAAACACACAATATTTTATTACCATACTATATCATGCACGATACCTACCAGTAAAGGCTGTTAAATATTGAGCAACCAGATTTTTGAAACAAAGTTTCCATGTGTGTTATGTTTATTATAAATTTTACTGACATAATGGTTGGATAACACATAATTTACAAATAATAACAGAATGTGTAATACTTCATTGTAATTTCTAAATAGCTGATTGATTCTCAAACAATGTTTCAAAGATTTTTCCCACACTTCTATCTATACTAATCATTCTGGATTTTGTTTCTTTGAATTATTGGGCAGGGAAGATACTTAAGTATGGAAGATTATTGCTCTAATTTGAGTGAAATAAAAGTTTATTAGTGCAAGACAAACATAACTCATTTAATGATAAAGTTTGTGTTGGAGATATATATCTATATCTATATCTATATTTTAAAAAGCCATAGCCAACCTATGGTTGCCATTGAGGAATGAGTATAGTTTTGACGTAAATGTAAGTTGACACTTTTGTTTACATTAACAAGTGAAATGAAAGTGAAGCAATGCAGATGTATGTCAGAACCCTTATTTGTCAATGACATAATTCCTTCTTTACTAAACTGGATAAAAATTTTCAAATACTGGAAGAATATTTCCTCAATTGTTTGTGCTTTTTACAATGTAATAGCTATAGATGTGACCCACTTTTAAATAATCTGCCCTGTTAGCATATTCTCCATCACTTTAAGTCCAGATAACCAACAAAGCAATAACTCAGGCCCTGATTTGTAGTGTTTGTCAATTCCACGATGTAAATATTCTCACTACAGCTGATGAAGTTCCTAGTGTGATTTCACTGAATGCTGAGTTGGAAAGAGATGAACAGTGGCACACCTTTACAAATATCACAGATATTTATTATCTAAAAGCTCCAAATCCTAGATCCATCAAAGCCTGAGGCAGGACGTTTTTATTGGATTATGGACTGCCTGGAAATGTAGCGACGGAGTCAATGTGGTAATCAAATTTAAAGAAAAACAACAAAAACTGTCAGAATTCAACTTGAAAATTAAAAGAACTCATTGAGTTCTGGGCTCACTTCCAGAACTGTCTGTGTCAGTCTGTGTCACCCAGACACATCTCCACTAAATTCTTGAATAATAAAGACAGAAAGATGTTTCCAGAAATTTTACTCAAACATCTAATCTCACCTTTCTTCTTGGTTGCTACAATGACCTCAGATCATGCAGCTCAAGGAATAATTTGTTTATATTACTATTATACTAGAAGACAAAAGTATTTCCTTTGAAGCCTAAAAAAATGCTTTCACAAGGGAAAAATATAAAATGAAGACTGTGCAGAAATAAATAGTATAAGCCTAACTCTTCAGTTCAGTTTTGCGGACAGGTTAGGAAATAGCTTTAATTTCAGTCAGTCACCACAGGTTCTTTCTCTCCTACCATTTCATATTTGAATGATTCTTATGATCTTCTTCTCATATGATTCTCTTGTAGGAACCTTATCTCAAAGTATGAACTTTGTTTCCCAAGAACATTAATATATTTACTTATTTTCTCAATCCTTCAGTACACACAACATAGTTTGGAATTGGAACTCTGTTACAAGCTGAATGCTTGTATCCCCCCCAAATTCGTATGTTAAATCCTAACTCCTAATGTGATGGGTATTAGGAAGTGACGCCTTTAGGAAGTGATTAGGTCATAAGGGTGGTGCCCTCATAAGTCAGATTAGTGCCCTTATAAAAGAGAACCCAGAGGGCTCCTCTCTGCCTTTTGCCATGGGAAGGCATGGCAAGAATATGACCATCTGTAAATCAGCAATTTGGGCCCTCTGTAGACATGAAATCTGCTGGCACCTTGATCTTAGACTTCCCAGACTCCAGAACTGTGAGAAACACATTTCTGTTATTTATTAGCTAGCCAGTCTATGGTACTTTGTTATAGCAAAACTGAATAGACTAAGACAAACACCAATACAATTATCAACAACAAATCTACTAAATAAACTGTAAGATTTCTCTGTAGTTCTTTTTATCCACTGAATAGAAACTATCGAGGGTGTATAGTAAAATTACTAGGCTCAAAAGTTATTTGGAATACTTTTTTCCTGAGTATAGTTTTGTTATAAGACACATAATCAGGGTCATCATTTCTGTTTGGATTCAATTTTAGGGTTTTTCCTCATATTTGTTGACTTTCTTTTTGGAAATGATAAAATTTTGACACTCAGAAATCAAAACCATATAAAGATATTCAGAGAAGTCCCCCAATCCTCTCACTCCATCTCTACTATATCTGTAAGTAACCAGGTAAGCATATCATCAGTTTCTGGAATATAGTTTCCCTGTTTTCTTTTGGCAAAAATGTGTGTTTTGTGTATGACTTTTTCTTCTTTTCATACAATAGGTAACATGCTATAAATAAGTAATCTATATCTCTATCTATACACAGTTATACTTTGACTTTTACATTTAATATATGCTCTAAGTTATTCCATATCAGATCACAGAGATCTTCCTCATTATTTTTTACAGCTGCCCAGTTCACTGAAGTATGGATATATAGAGTTTATTTAACTCATCTCTTAGGCCTGACATTTAGGGCATCTCTAATATCTTGCAATTACAAATAATGTCACATTGAGTAACCTTGCACATGTTTGTCTGGTTATTTGTTTGTTTTTTGGGGGAGTATATTTTCAGTGTAAATCCCTAGATGTGGGAATGACAGGTTAAAGAGTAAATGCACATACACTTTCCTTATATATTGCAAATTTCTTTCTATAGGTGTTTCAGTTATCTGGTTAGATAACAAACCATTCCAAAATATAATGGATTAAAACACAAACATTTTATATTTATCACAACTCTGTGAGTTGGCTGGGCAGGAATCAGCCAAGATGGTTCATCTCTGCTATCTGAGGTGCCGGTTAAGCTTGCTTATACGGCTGCTATGTGGTCTAGAAGATCTAAGATGGCCTCACTCATACCTGGCCCCTCAGCTAGGATGGTTAGAATACAGGGCCTTCCTTTGATGTGGTCTCTCAGGCAGGGTAGCCTAGACTTTATATGGCCCTGGCTTCACAGTGAGCAAAAATTTAAACTGCAAGTCTTCTTAAGGCATGGGCTTTGAGGTCACATAACATTGCTTCCCCCATTTGATGGGTAAAAGCAAGTCACAGGGCTAGTTCATATTCATTCACGTGGAAGGAGACTGATATGGTTTGGATTTGTGTCCCTGCCCAAGTCTCAGGTCAAATTGTAATCTCCAGTATTGGAGGAGGGGCCTGGTGGGAGGTGACTGGATCATGGGGGCTGATTTCTCCTTTGCTGTTTTTGTGATAGTGAATGAGTTTTCATGAAATCTGATTGCTTAAAAGTGTGTAGCACCTTCCCCTTCTCTCTATTCCTCCTGCGCTGACCATGTGAAGGCATGTCTGCTTGCTTACACTTTGCCTTCCACCATGATTGTAAGTTTCCTGAGACTTCTGCAGACATTCTTCCTGTACAGCTTGCAGAACTGTAAGCCAATTAAACCACTTTTCTTTGTAAATTACCCAGTCTCAGGGATTTCTTTATAGCAATGTGAGAATGGACTAATAGAGAGACTACACTGGGTATGAATACAGGAAAGTAGAAGTCATGGGGGCAGCATTTTGTAACAGTCTACCGCAACAGCAACTGTACCATTTTACACTGCCACCAGCAATGTATGAGAGTACCTGTTTCCCTATAGCTTGCCAATAGAAAATCTTATCATAAAAGTATTGATTATATTATATTTCATGAAAAAAACAGACTGAAATTCACAAATTGATTTTACAACCCATTATTACAGTAGGATCTACAGTTCACAAAACAGTATAGTAACTCATTTAATTCTCACAACAAACTTATAAGACAATTAATATTATTTCCACTTTACTATGAGGAAACTGGTTAACAAGAGACATGCCTAACCTAACTGGTTAACAAGAGACTTACCTAACTAAAGACATAGAAAATATCTTGGTTATCAAGAAAATATCAAGGTTAAATATCTTGCCCAAGGCCACACAGCTAGAGAATGGTCAAGCTAGGATACAAACCCAGGCTGTCTTGCTGTAGAGTTCAATATTATGCTATACTTTCATACTGCATACTGCAATGCTCTCTGCTTGGATCCCTTCTTCAGGGTTATAAACCCATTCCCCAGCTGCTGGAAATATTGGCTGCTGACAACTCATAGCAGCATCTCTCATTGATCTTGCCTTTGCCTTACCTCTCCCACCTTCAGCAGAGATTACTGTTGACTCTTATGTTTGAATCCAGGTCTACCTCAAGGCCAAGTTAACCATATCATATTTATATGGCCTGAATAACAAAGCTCTGGTAGTGATTGTATGGGAAAATAGAGACTTTCATACCTGGTAGATGATTTGTTAATTTTTCCTTGTGATATTGCCACTTTCTGCTTATCTTCTTTTGATTTTGCTTAATTTGAGGCTATAGTTTCAAGGTTTTTATCTTTTGTTTTAAGAGACAGGGTCTCACTATGTTGCCCAGGCATGTCTTGAACTTCTGGGCTCAAGTGATCCTCCCACCTCAGCCTCCTAAAGTGCTGAGATTACAGGCATGAGCCGCCACACCCAGCCTCCAGTTTCAAAATTTTTATATCTTCCCAGTGAATTGTTCCTTTTTGTCATTAGTGAGTGTCATTCTTTCTGCTGTATTCTCATTGCCCTAATGTCCATTTTGTCTTATATTAACATTTCTATGACCACTTGCCAAGTGCGGCAGATATTTCAAATAGATTGATTACTTACTCTAACATACTCTTTTTTTCCTTGCTAGGCGAATTTCAATTTTGTTTAGATACTAAGTAGCAAAGTGTTTAGGTAAAATAGATGTCCTTTAGACCCACACCTGACTGATGCTTGGACTAAGCCAGTTTTAGTAATCTAATTCCCTTCTAGTGGGATTGGTTTAGGGATGACCATGTGACCCAGTTCTAGGAAGAGATATAAAGGGAAGTCCATTGTCTGCTCCTGGGAAACACTTTCTTCCCCCATAAATACAGACATTTGAGAAGAAATCCTTTTTCTCCTTCTTTTTTTTTTTTTTTTAATGTTATCAGGTAGGATGTGACCAGCCATTTTGTAACCTTGAAGGCTAATCTCTCAGAAATTTACAAAGTGCCTGGATATTTGATGGCACCATTGAGCTTTAGAGCTTTAGAACCAACCTTAGAACCACCTACCTCAAGATTTCTTGCAACATGAGTCAACATACAGCCTTGTTATTTAAGCCTGTTTTAGTTAGGTATTCCATTGCCTATTGCCAAAAGCATTCTATCTGATACACCTGAAAAACTTTCATCCCTTTTCTGTCAAATTTTCTATGTCTTTAGTTTAGGTAAGTCTCTTGCTAACAGAATATGACTGGATTATTTTAAATCCAATCTGTCTTTTAATTGGCAAACATAAATTTCTAGATATTATAAATGACTGATATAGTTAGACTTATTCCCACCATTTTATTTGTGGGTTTTTAAGTAAACTATCTTCTTCCTTGTTTATTTTTCTTCATTTATTGTCACATATTAGATTGATAGTTTTTCTTTATTCCCTTTTTCGTTCTCTATTTTGATTGAATTTCTGTACCTATTCTTTTGCAGATTTTAGACTAAACAAAGTTTAAAGCTACTCAATACATCTTCTCAAATGACACAAAGACCTGAGAAAAACTTGCCCCCTATTTTGCTATCCTTTTGCTATTGTTAACTGTTTTTTAACACTCCAAAATTAGTCTTTTCAGAATTAGTCAATATTTATTTAGCAATATGTTTAACAATTAACAATTGTTCCAAAGCACTGTTTTTTCTTCCTCATTCAATCTTGTTTTTCCTAAAGTAGATACTTATTCTTTGCAGTTCTTTCTGTAAGAGCACATGAATGGTGAGCTTTCTTAATCTGTTGGTCTGAAAATGTCTTTAATTTTAATGATAATTTTTATTTTGAAATAATTTTGACCTCACAGAAAAGTTGCAAGACTAATATAGAGAGTTTTTTATTTCCTGAACAATTTGAAAGTAAATAGCTGACATAATACCCCATCACCCTGAGTATGTTAGAATAGGGCATGGCGAAATACGGCATGCTGCGTCAGAACGGCTATAAGAAATAAAAAAAAATAACAGATACTGGAGAGGTTACAGAGAAAAGGGAACACTTATACACTATTGGTGGGATTGTAAATTAGTTCAACCATTGTGGAAAGCAGTGTGGTGATTCCTCAAAGAGTCAACAGAACTACCATTTAACCCAGCAATCCCATTATTGGGGTATATCCCCAAAGGAATAGAAATCATTCTACCATAAAGACATATGCACGTATATGTTCATTGCAGCACTATTCACAATAGCAAAGATATGGAATTAACCTAAACGTCCATCAATGACAGATTGGATAAGGAAAATGTGGTACATATACACTATGGAATACTATGCAGCCATAAAAAGAACAAGATCATGTCCTTTGCAGGAACATGGATGGAGCTGGAGGCCATTATCCTTAGCAAACTAATGCAGGAACAGAAAAGCAAATGCCGCATGCTCTCACTTAAAAGTGGAAGCTAAATGATGAGAACACATGGACACAAAGAGGGGAACAACAGACACTTGGGGCCTACTTGAGGGTGGAGGGTGGGAGGAGGGAGAGGATCAGAAAAAATATCTACTGGGTACTAGGCTTAGTACCTGGGTGACAAAATAGTCTGTACAAAAAATCTCTGTGACACGAGTTTGCCTACATAACAAACCTACACATGTATCCCTGAACCTAAAATAAAAGCAAAAAATATATATATGTATGTACATATATGTATGTATATATGTGTGTGTGTGTGTGTGTATATATATGTATGTGTGTATATATGTGTATATATATATGGCATGCTGGCGAAATCCAGCATACTACTTGTTTGTGTAAATAAAGTTTCATTACTTCCCTGCCTTGAGCCTGGAATCACTCATTATTCCAAAGAGTGCTGTGTTCATCTATTTTAAAGTGTTACTGTCTCAGGCTTTCTCAGTGGACAGTGCTAGGGAATACATGTGTACACACACAACTGCATTTTTTATTTTTCTCTCTCTCTTTACATCAATATATCTATATACATATAAAAATGATGAGTTTATACTGATACCTCCAGTTCCAAGCCAACACCACAAAGTTCATTCTTTTTTTTTTTCCTTTGCATATTTGTAACTCCTTTCTCCAATAGCGAGAAATCTGCCTTCCATTATCCTCAATATATTTACTTATTGGGTCAATCTCTTCTTTTTTTTTTTTTTTTTTTTTTTTGAGACGGAGTCTCGCTCTGCCGCCCAGGCTGGAGTGCAGTGGCCGGATCTCAGCTCACTGCAGGCTCCGCCTCCCGGGTTCACGCAATTCTCCTGCCTCAGCCTCCCCAGTAGCTGGGACTACAGGCGCCCGCCACCTCGCCTGGCTAGTTTTTTTTGTATTTTTTAGTAGAGACGGGGTTTCACCGTGTCAGCCAGGATGGTCTCGATCTCCTGACCTCGTGATCCGCCCGCCTCGGCCTCCCAAAGTGCTGGGATTACAGGCTTGAGCCACCGCGCCCGGCCCTCAATCTCTTCTATATAACTGTGTTAGATTCTATATAACTGTGCAATATCCTGTGTTGGCTACATACCAATCTCCTGTTGCTACCACCATATCCCCATGCAGCCACCCTCCTCACATTGCTCAGGCATTCCTGGAATTAACCCAACTTGATCATAATATTATATATAAATAATATTTATTATATTATAGATAAATAATATATATTATATTATAGATAAATAATATATTGTATGTAATATATTAATATATATTATATATATATAAATATGTAATAACATCATGTTTATGAATAAACATACACAGGGAATAAATATTCCATGGGGAAGGCTGACATTTTAAAACATCTTTTAATGCCACTGAATGGAAGGCTGGTCATTGGCTGGGAATAAGTGCCATCTGCTCAATCCATGTGTTTTCCACAGCCTAACCATTAGCACCTTGAAGAAAGCCGTAGCGTCCTTCCTTCTTGCAGTCTCAAATTCAGACTATTTGGATGTTCCATCTATCATCCGTCAAAAAGTACAATCTTGTGAGCCATTCCACATACAATCAGATAGTAGATATCTCAAAGCCCTTACATACAAAAAAAATTTGCTCTGAGGAAGAGATTTGGAAAATCTTTTCTGTTTCTAAAAGTCAGTCATAAGCCCGAATTAAAATAAACGAAATCCCTATCCTACGTATCAACTTCTTCCCTAAATCCCATAATTTGTTAGTCATTTAAAGGCATGAGCATGAAAGAAATTTCAGTATAAATGACTCCCTTTTTATAGTAGGCAATGTAGCTAACTTAAAACAATTTTTTTAAGTACAGCAGGAGGTAAGAACGTTATTCCAGTTGTCTTTTCCTGCTTAATAATCCTCCCCCAAATTTAGTGGTATTATCCCTCAAGATTCTGGGGGTTTACTGGGCTAAACTAGGCAATTCTTTCTCAAGAAATGAGAAATTTGTAATCAGACTGTGGCTGAGGCTGGAGGCCTCTCAAAGGCTACTTACTCACACATCAGGTACCCAGCCTAGGATAACTCAAAAAACTGGGAGCTGGAACCTCTGGAGCTCCTCTGGTATCTCTTTCAATACGTGGGATCACCACATGGTTTCTCTAGCATGGTTTCTTCAGAGTAGGTGAACTTTCAACTTGGTGACTCAGCTCCTAAGACATGTTGAGAGAGAGCAAGAGAGAGACCAAAGCTTTATTACTTTTTATGACTTAGCCCTTAGAAATTATAGTTTCACTTCTCAAGCATTCTATTGATTAGAAGTGAGTCACAGCCTGAACAACATAGCTAGACACTGCCTAACAAAAATTATTTTTTAAATTAACTGAGCATGGTGGCATGCACCTGTAGCCCTAGCTACTCAAGAGGCTGAGGCAGGAGGATCACTTGAGCCCAGGAGTTCAAGGCTGCAGTGAGCTATGATCGTGCCATGGCACTCCAGAGAGAGACCTCTTCTCTTAAAAAAAGAAGTGAGTCACTAAGGCAAGTTCATAGTCAGGGAGAAGAGAAACAGATTCTATTTCCTCATTGGAGGGGTGTTTAAGAATTTGCATACATTTGCCTCTCGGTTCCAAGAAGGTCAAATAGGAACAGCTCTGGTCTGCAGCTCCCAGCATGATCAACGCAGAAGATGGTGATTTCTGCATTTCCAACCCAGGTATCTGGTTCATCTCATTGGGACTGGTTGGACAGTGAGTGCAGCCCATGGAGGGTGAGCCAAAGCAGGGCAGGGCATTGTCTCACCCAGGAAGCACAAGGGGCCAGAGGATTTCCCTTTCCTAGGCAAGGGAAGCCATGACAGACTATACCTGAAAAATCAGGACACTTGCACCCAAATACTGTGCATTTCCAACGGTCTTAGCAAACGAAACACCAGGAGATTATATCCCGCACCTGGCTGGGTGGGTCCCATGCCCATGGAGCCTTACTCACTACTAGTACAGCAGTCTGAGATCGATCCGCAAGGCAGCAGCCTGGCAGGGGGAGGGACGTCCACCATTGCCAAGGCTTGAGTTGGTAAACAAAGTGGCTGGGAAGCTCAAACTGGGCAGAGCCCATTGCAGCTCAACAAGGCCTGCTGCCTCTGTAGACCCCACCTCTGGGGCCAAGGCACAGCTGAAAAAAGGCAGCAAAAACTTTTGCAGACTTAAACGTCCCTGTCTGACAGCTCTGAAGAGAGCAGTGGTTCTCTCAGCACACTGTTTGAGCTCTGAGAATGGACAGACTGCCTCCTCAAGTGGGCCCCTGACTCCCATGTAGCCTAACTGAGAGACATCTCCCAGTAGGGGCCGACTGACACCTCATATAGGTGGATGCCCCTCTGGGACAAAGCTTCCAGAGGAAGGATCAGGCAGCAATATTTACTATTCTGCAGTATTTGCTATTGTGCAATATTTGCTGTTTTGCAGTCTCTGCTGGTGATACCCAGGCAAACAGGGTCTGGAGTGGACCTCCAGCAAACTCCCACAGACCTGCAGCTGAGGGACATGACTGTTAGAAGGAAACCTAGCAAACAAAAAGGAATACCATCAACATCAACAAAAAGGACATCTACACCAAAACCCCATCTGTAGGTCACCAACATCAAAGAACAAAGGTAGATAAAACCACAAAGATGGGGAGAAACCAGAGCAGAAAAGCTGAAAATTCTAAAAATCAGAGCGCCTGTTCTCCTAAAAAGGATTGCAGCTCCTCACCAGTAATGGAATAAAGCTGGATGGAGAATGACTTTGACGATTTGATAGAAGTAGGCTACAGAAGTTCGTAATAAAAAAACTTCTCTGAGCTAAAGGAGCATGTTCTAATCCAGCATAAGGAAGCTAAAAACCTTGAAAAAAGTTTAAATGGATGGCTAACTAGAAGATCTTAAATGACCTGATGGAGCTGAAAAATATGGCACAAGAACTTCATGACCCATGCACAAACTTTAATAGCTGATTCGATCAAGTGGAAGAAAGGGCATCAGTGATTGAAAATCAAATTAATGAAATAAAGTGAGAAGACAAGATTAGAGAAAAAACGAGTAAAAAGAAAGAAAGAAATCCTCCAAGAAATATGGGACTATGTGAAAAGACTAAATCTACATTTTATTGGTGTACTTGAAAGTGATGGGGAGAATGGAACTAAGTTGGAAAACACTCTGCAGGATATTATCCAGGAGAACTTCTCCAACCTAGCAAGACAGGCCAGCATTCAATTCAAGAAATACAGAGAACGCCACAAAGATGCTCCTTGAGAAGAGCAATCCCAAGACACATAATTATCAGATTCACCAAGGTTGAAATGAAGGAAAAAATGTTAAGGGCAGCCAGAGACAAAGGTCGGGTTACCCACAAAGGGAAGCCCATCAGACTAACAGCGGATCTCTGCAGAAACTCTACAAGTCAGAAGAGAGTGGGGGCCAATATTCAACATTCTTAAAGAAGAGAATTTTCAACACAGAATTTCATATCCAGCCAAACTAAACTTCAGGAAGGAGAAATAAAATCCTTTACAGACAAGCAAATGCTGAGATTTTGTCACCACCAGACCTGCCTTACAAGAGCTCCTGAAGGAAGCACTAAACATGGAAAGAAACAACCGGTACCAGCCACTGCAAAAACATGCCAAATTGTAAAGACCATCGATGCTAGGAAGAAACTGCATCAATTAACGGGCAAAATAACCAGCTGACATTATAATGACAGGATCAAATTCACACATAACCTTAATTGTAAATGGGCTAAATACCACAATTAAAAGACATAGACTGGCAAATCGGATAAAGAGTCAAGACCCATCAGTGTGCTGTATTCAGGAGACCCGACCCATTTCATGTGCAGAGACACACATAGGCTCAAAATAAAAGGATGGAGAAAGATTTACCAAGCAAAGGGAAAGCAAAAAAAGGCAGGGGTTGCAATCCTAGTCTCTGATAAAACAGACCTTAAACCAACAAAGATCAAAAGAGACAAAGAAGGTCATTACACAAAGCTAAAGGGATCAATTCAACAAGAAGAGCTAACTATCCTAAATATATATGCACCCAATACAGGAGCACCCAGATCCATAAAGCAAGTCCTTAGAGACCTACAAAGAGACTTAGACTCCCACACAATAATAATGGGAGAATTTAACACCCCACTGTCAATATTAGACAGACCAATGAGACAGAAGGTTAACAAGGATAGCCAAGACTTGAACTCAGCTCTGCACCAAGTGGACCTAATAGACATCTACAGAACTCTCCACCCCAAATCAACAGAATATACATTCTTCTCAGCACCACATCACACTGATTCCAAAATTGACCACATAATTGGAAGTAAAGCACTCCTCAGCAAAGGTAAAACAACAGAAATCACAGCAAGCTGTCTCTCAGACCACAGTGCAATCAAATTAGAACTCAGGATTAAGAAACTCACTCAAAACTGCACAACTACATGGAAACTGAACAATCTGCTCCTGAATGACTACTGGGTAAATAATGAAATGAAGGCAGAAATAAAGATGTTCTTTGAAACCAATAAGAACAAAGACACAATGTACCAGAATCTTTGGGACACATTTAAAGTAGTGTGTAGTGGGAAATTTATAGCACTAAATGCCCACAAGAGAAAGCAAGAAAGATCTAAAATTGACACCCTAACATCACAATTAAAAGAACTAGAGAAGCAAGAGCAAACAAATTCAAAAGCTAGCAGAAGGCAAGAAGTAACTAAGATCAGAGCAGAACTAAAAGAGATAGAGACAAAAAAAAGCTTCAATACATCAATGAATTCAGGAGCTGGTTTTTTAAATGATCAACAAAATTGATAGACCACTAGCAAGACTAATAAAGAAGAAAAGAGAGAAGAATCAAATACACACAATACAAAATGATAAATGGGATTATCACCACTGATCCCACAGAAATACAAGCTACCATCAAGGAACACTATAAACACCTCCACGCAGGCTGGGTACAGTGGCTTGTGCCTGTAATCCCAGCACTTTGGGAGTCCAAGGTGGGCAGATCACGAGGTCAGGAGATCAAGACCATCCTGGCTAACACGGTGAAACCATGTCTGTACTAAAACTACAAAAAATTAGCCGGGCTTGGTGGCATGAGCCTGTAGTGCCAGCTACTCGGGAGGCTGAGGGAGGAGAATTGCTTCAACCTGGGAGGCAGAGGTTGCAGTGAGCCGAGATTGTGCCACTGCACTCCAGCCTGGGAGACAGAGCAAGACTCTGTCCCAAAAACAAACAAACAAACAAAACACCTCTACACAAATAAACTAGGAAATCTAGAAGAAATGGATAAATTCCTGGACACATACACCCTCCCAAGACTAAACCAGGAAGAAGTTGAATCTCTGAGTAGACCAATATAACAGGCTCTGAAATTGAGGCAATAATCAATAGTCTAGCAACCAAAAAAAGTCCAGGACCAGATGGATTCACAGCCGAATTCTACCAGAGGTACAAAGAGGAGCTGGTACCATTCCTTCGGAAACTATTCCAATCAAAAGAAAAAGAGGGAATCTTCCCTATCTCATTTTATGAGGCCAGCATCATCCTGATACCAAAGCCTGGCAGAGACACAACAGAAAAAAAGGAATTTTAGACCAATATCCCTGATGAACATCGATGCGAAAATCCTCAATAAAATACTGGCAAATCGAATCCAGCAGCACATCAAACAGCGTACCTACCACCATCAAGTGGGCTTCATCCTAGGATGCAAGGCTGGTTCAACATATGCAAATCAACAAACATAATCCATCACGTAAACAGAACCAATGACAAAAACCACATGATTATCTCAATGGATGCAGAAAAGGCCTTGACAAAATTCAACAGTGCTTTCATGCTAAAACCTCTCAATAAACTAGGTATTGATGGAACATATCTAAATATTATAAGAGCTGTATATGAAAAACCCACAGCCAATATCATACTGAATGGGCAAAACTAGAAACATTCCCTTTGAAAACTGGCATAAGACAGGGATGCCCTCTCTCACCACTCTTATTCAATGTAGTTTGGAAGTTCTGGCCAGGGCAATCAGGCAAGAGAAAGAAATAAGGAGTATTGAATTAGGAAAAGAGGAAGTCAAATTGTCCCTGTTTGCAGATGACATGATTGTATATTTAGAAAACCCCATCGTCTCAGCCCAAAATCTCCTTAAGCTGGTAAGCAACTTCAGCCAAGTCTCAGGATACAAAATCAGTGTGCAAAAATCACAAGTATTCCTATACAC